GAGCAGTAGCTACCACACAATTTATCACTTTTTCTTAAGTGAATGAGCCTGATCCTATAATTCTTAATCACATGAGTCTGGGCTCAATTTATTATTTTGTTCACCATACATACCTTATTTCCCAGCAGCAGAGTAAAACTGAATTGTTTCCTGAAGTAGATTATAATTATTGTATTTCACATTTTAGTTATTGGTTTGTTATCATGGACACCAAAAAACCTTACTGAATACATTAAGTAAGTACGTGACTTAATATTTTCAGTTATTACACATATTGATACCTATACTCAATAAAACAATAGCTTAAATGTCCTCTGTAATTGACTAATGAACTTTTAGGTAGAGGTCATAGTATTTAGTTAATACCCAAATCTGTAACAAAAATATCCAAGCTATGCATCTGCATAACTGCGTACAATCGTGAACAGAGGAAGTATATCTATACAATAATCACAAAACAGGCCCATGGGAATACTGTATGTGAGAATTCTGTATATACCAAAAATACAATCTAAAAGTCATATAAATTGTAATGACACACGTATTTTGCTGAGTATTCAGAGACAGTATGGAAGAGACTCACTAAGAGACACAATTAAAGCAAATAATTGGCATTGGGTATAATTTATGGGTATAATTTTCAAGCAAAAATGTTGTATGACATTTAATTAGAAAAAATATGAACAGTGTCAAACTACTGCTCATCAATTCATAAGTGACATGCCAAGTTTCTGGCAAAAAACAAGTTAGAGTGGATGCCAATCGTTAAGCTAACGTGCATCAAAAAAGAAAAAAGAATTACAATGGTTTGATCAAAAATGGTGCAAAGTGCAACATATGTAATTTTCAAGATCTAATAGCACCTGTAATAACTGCTCACAAGATGGCAACTATCTTTGAAACGTGTGTTGTAAACACATCACTTGCTTATTAAGAGTTAGGAGCATAATATTCTTCCTTTCCTGCACTCTAGATGTCAAGATATTTTTCAAGATGCCTAGTGAGGCTGCAAAATTTGTTTGCTTCGAAGACATTTTATAATTGAATGAAAACGAAGGTCAACAATTCTAGAGAAAACAAGCATCTAAGAAATATCAAATGATAAAATGTTTCTATTCACGACTGTAAGGAAAACTGATTGTAGTAAACCTTTAAATATATTATGGAAAAACTTTCAGAGATAAATTTTAAATAAAATATTTTTGTGAAGCAAATTGTGTTCATTGCAAAGTAAATTAAAATTTATGATGATAAACATTGGGAAATGCTGTACTTCCATTATTATCATATCAGTAACTTGTTAGTAATTGTAATATCATCAGTGTTCCTGGACAGGCATAGGACAAACGCTCGCTGCTCCATGGACGCATAGGCTCATCGGAAATGGAACCTGTTCAGTTCCGTTAGGCAAATTTGGGTATGTATTTTGGGGACCCACATCCCTGGGGTGCGCAGCTAGTATCATTGATAACAAGGAATCTGATGGAGTGCCCACATGGAAGCATACTTTTCATTAAAGAACTGCAAGCTTTGGAAAAAGGCAGGGATGGTTTCAATCATTATGCACATCTCAGTTCTTACAAAGCAAGGAGTGTGAGGTGTTACGAAGGCTATTCCAACCAACTAAAATGTGGGGAAGAAAGGAAGAGGAGGCTCTTATGCACACACACACCGGGGGCGACTGTCCTAAGCATTTTCCCATCCCAGTTCAACAGCTCAGACCGAGCTGTGGGCTCAGTTTTCTGTGGTGTTCTGAACTTCCAATTACAGAATTCACTGCGATACACAAATACGCTTGCCATAACATTGGCAAGAGACTGGTTTATACTGTATGTCATGAATATACCAGGAGATAGGGTCTCCGTTCCCACCCGCTCTACCCCCACGTATACCAATTTCCCATCTGTTTGTGATCATCCTGTGCAACCTCTTACTACTCCACATCCTTTCCAGTTGAAGATCACATAATAGCCCTGCTGCAGCTTCCAAAATTGATTAAAGGGAATATATTAAAATAATACAGATACATTTTGGAGTAGTGTGATAAATATTTTGTCTCTTCCCTTCTTGAAGTACTCTTCATTTTCCTCACCTCTCATTTCTGATAACTGTCTCCCCCTAAAAAATTCAAAAACTTAAAGAAACAAGCAAATACACCAGCAATCAAAAACCATGGTTTGGAAAGGAGGCTTGTAAACCATCATGCTGTTCTTCCCTTCACTGATTTTCCATCTTCTCTTTAGTTTGTTGTTTCTTCTGGAGAAGGGATGCGTCTTTTCTCAGCATACTGCCTGCCACTATGGGATTCCCAATCCCTGTTGGCGCTATTCTATCATCATCATCAGTGACCTGCCTTCTCTCCACAGATCACCTATGGATCAATGGGCCCCAATTTGGCAACCAATATAACAGGCACAAAGGGCAACACATTCACGATGCCAGAGGAAATTTAGAAATGTATAACGCTGAAAAATATCAACAAACACAAAGGCTGCAGCAGGGTATAATCTTGAAAATATAGTACTCCAACCAAAAATGTATAGAAAGTCTCACAATAATGATCATCTTAATTTTAAAGCATTTCAAATCCTATATAGCCCTTTTTAAAATCATGTCTACCAATAAAAAAAGAACTCCCTCCATAATACGTAACTCAGGCTAGAGAAACACGTGGTCAAATTGATAATTTTACAGGTCTTATAAATTGATTTTAGCCATTACTGCATTACACATAATTCACTAAAGGTGATGGAATGCTTATTTGGTTAGATAGCTAATGTATCCCTAAAGAATAAAAGCTACTTTAATACATCACTTTGCCATAAAGGTGCTGTAGACAGCAAAAGAGCATTTTGTCAACTTCAGGAAATAAGAGAACTATTAAGAATTATTTAAAGCTTCATAAAGCACAAGGAAAATGTGCAACTGTCAATAAGGGTAGACATTAATCTTTCCATCCCCTTGCACATATTTTCAGCATGCTGTGCTTGGGTTTACCAGATGTGCAGTTTTGTGTAACCTGTTAATCTGCTGAGGCAGAGGTGAGCCCTTCAGAGAGTTAATATCCCTTGAGGAGTAAGAGTCCTCTAAAATAATCATCATGGCTACAGGGCATAAATGTCACCTGTACATTTATATATATTTCCAGCTGCCAGACTGAGCCTCCTTCCTCTATTTTAACTACTGCTGAGGTTAAAAATATGGAGATATTTTAAATATAGGAGGAGATATTACAGGCTTCTAAATCACTAGTGCAAGGGAGAAAACAGCCCCAGGGCAATATAATATACAAATGCCATTTGGAATAAAAGATCTTATTCTGAAGAGGAATCCTCCAATGTAATTACAGAACTGAACAGACTCAGTAAAATAGGGTTACTTGTAACCTTTATCAGACTAGGCTCTTCTGTTCAAACCAAACATCAGTAAGACAGTAGGAGCTTGTTCATGGATTTTAATCAGCTATTACTGTGTATTTTCAAACTGACTTGTTACCAAACCAGCAAGCATTTATAGCACATTACCTATAAGATCTCAAAACAAAATTATGGAAAGGTTGCACTGCATATGTGGGGAAACCACCAGTGAATTATGAGGGCCAAGCCAAACCAGCAACAAAACCAATTTTATGCCAAACCACCGTCGCATCATGCAGGCCAGAATCAAATCATGTATCCCTCAGATCAGGTAAAGAGATTGTGTTTCTACATTTATTGTCTTCTGTATCTATGAATGAACTTGTACAATGTAAAGCCAATAGTGATTTTGGTACTGTACAAAACAGAAGATGATGTGGTTCCTTTAACCTAAGGAGTTAGCGATCCAAACAGCAATTTTAGTGGCATAAGGATACGGTTTCAGAAGCTCTAAAAATACACCTGTATTTCTAAATATGCTGATTTTTAAAACTGCATGCTTTTTGCCCTGTAATGACCATGTCACACAGCTTCAGTTTAAACATATCTTTCTCCCAGGCAGGCAACCCAGCAGATAAAGCTTTGAAAATCAGATTCTTTCTTTCCTGTGCATCATCATCACTGAAACTAGAGGTTCTGCAGAGAAGCCCTTTGTTGCTCTTGTGCATTCTCTGCTCTCTTCAAATTATAATCTCGCTGACACCTCTGGAGCCCTACTGCTTTCAACAGGATAAGACCAGATGCAACAGACTGGAACACAGTAAACAGATTCATCATTTATTCACAGGAGGGAGGAGAGTCCTGCTCACTCGTGTTCTCAGCTGTGCTGGCTCCTGAGTGACAACAAAGGTAGAAAGCACTAAAACCAACTGATATGACTCTGAACACATGCAGACAGCAGATCTGTTGAGCAAGTTGGCATTTTTAAACTGTCGCTATTCGGAGAAAGAATTCACTTTATAAAAAAAAAATAACAGCAGTTTTATTTTACTCTTTAGAATGAACATGTTGCAAGATGATTATCTTTCAATGTCGAAAGCCTCCTTCAAGTTAAAGCAAACTTAGTGAGATTAAATTTGACTCAGTCCTTCATAGGTGCACAAGAAAGGGGGCAGAGCACAAGGCACTTGTCACGCTACACGCTAAGATGCTCTATAGGTGCCAGGCCCTATCAGACTCCAGGCACAGAAGGACAGCAGCATTTCAGCAGCCACACTGGCAGTTGACACTATGAAAAGGTAGGTAAGGGTATACTCCCTCATCTGTCCTAAGATGTGCTACCATTCTTAGGCATGGTATACTTTCACGTGTTACTATCATTGCCCAGCATTCCTCTCCTGCCTGGAGTGTTAAAGCCACAGCCTAGCCCTTAAGTGCTTATATATAAAATTATAATTCTTTCATAGTATTTCTGAATGTGAAGGTTCACTAAGAAAGCTGAATCTGGACTCCAAATCTCTAGTTTAGTTGCTCTGGCCATTTAGTCTGCCAAATGAATATTTTAGCAATTGATAAAAAAATAATTTTACAAGGATGATGGTATCTCTTAAAAGGAAGAATTTTTTTCCCTGATAAGATACATACCTGTACACTGTCCTCCGTTTGTTGGATCCCCATAATATCCTGGCATGCATGTTTCACATTGTTTTCCTGTTGTCAGATTTTTACATTGATCACAAACGTTGCCATTAACGCAGGTGCTGTGTCCATTACACTGGCAAGCTGGAATATAAAAAGTGAAACGGCCATTACCATTTCGGTTCTGAGAATAAAGCTGTTACTAAGTGAGCACAACAATTCTGAACGTTTCAGACCTAGAGTCCAATTTGTGTATAGAGAAAATAACATGACACCAAGTTAAAACAGGATTGTGACAAAATATAAATTCTCAACACCTTAGAAATTTTGAGTATATGGTGATTTGATGGTTTAAGGAACAAGAGAACAACTTTTGACTTGCTTTCATGGACTAAATGCAGTCCCCATCTTTAAAAGTTGCCTCCTCCTTTGCCATAAACTCTATCAAGTTACTTTAAAAACCAGTCATATAGTCAGCCAGATGATTAACTTTAATTGCTTTCCCTAAATGCCACCAATTATGAAGAGCTCACATTCTACTGTGCTAGAGAAAAACAACAAAATATCAATGGCATCTACTAATAAAACAAACTATGGACCATCCCAGTTTCTTTGAACAGGTTTGGCCCTGAAAACTCTAAGTGACAAGAGGATCATCTGAAATGACTCCAAACTCAGCTCATCTTTGCAGGTGAAACAAGAACCATTAGTCTTGCCACTGCCCACAGCACCTAAAAGCACACAATAGTACTACAGGTTCTCAAGAAACCTGCACTAGATTCTATCAATCTTGCAAACAACTAAATGCCAAACCGCCTTTCCTTAGGCAAACTCATGGAAAAAGTAGTGCTGACCGTGCAACAAAAGGACATAAAGCACTCTTCCAGCATACAGGACCCCTTAAGTCAGGACTCCTCAGAAACAGGACGAGGGAAGGAGAGAAAGCTAGTGGTATTGATAGGTACCCTCTTTATAGATGAGAGCACATGGGAACCTCAACACTCAGCTAGTTGAGCTGTCTCCAAAACAGTCAATTCCTGAATGCTGTTGGTCTTAGGGCAAGACCACAGCAGTTATACAAACAGATCCCAAAGACTGGATAGGAAATGTTTCCTCTTTTCTGAGAGCCCTCATAAGTGGAGTCTGAAAAGATAAAGCTTATCCTCACTCCTTTTCAACAGATAAGATCTCTGTGAGAAGCTGTGTAAAGCCACATCCACAAAATACTGGCACCAAAATACTGATACCACCTAAACATACACTTCTTCAATCCACATGGATAGGGCTATCTTCGATAGATTAAAGAGTGTCTGAAAAAACAAAAACTGTCTTTTAAATGAGGAAGATGTTAGAAGTGCTAGTATGAAGGGGGATAACACTTTGAGTAACATGATCAAAACCTAAGGGTTAGGGCAGAAGTAGGCAATTATTTTGGCTGGTGAGCCACTTAACAAGCTTTGGTGAGCTGTTGAAGGCTGTATACATAAAATCTTTCAGAAGATCTCATTTTAACAAATTACAGAAACAAATCAGATTCTTAAAAAAAAAAAAAAAAAAAAAGTCAAACTTTTACTGTAACTTTAATTTTATTTCAAAAAATATTTTTTGTCCGGATTTATGGGTATTTTTTAATAGTGTATATAGAGGCAATTGCATAATAGCTCAAAATAATGTCTTACTCTTGTATATTGTGTGGGTGGATATATGAGGTGTGCGCTCATGTGTGTGTGTGTGGGGTGGGGGGGGGGTGGGGGGGAGCTGCCTGCCCACGCGATAGGTCCTGGGAGCCAGGCAGGGGCACATGCAGCAGAATTTGCCTGTGCGGTACAAGCCACCCCGACGCTCCCCACCCCATCTGGCCCACAGCTGTCCCCATGGCACTCTGCATGGGACCGAACCCCACCTGCCCCCACTCAGGGGAAGCCACACGTATCCATGCCCATCAATAGCCCTGGCCCTGGCTACCAGATGCAGCTTCCTGGCAGGTCTGTCTGGGTACTGGTTGGTTCACCCTGCCTCCACTGTCTCCTCCTCCTCCTGCCCCTGTTGCACTGCTCTGGTCACCTTCCACTCACTCAGCACCTACAGACTAGATACTGTCACTTGGTGAGCTGGATCTGGCCCATGGGCTGTATTTTGCCCATCCCTGGGTCAGGGCCTAATCTAATAGAAAGTTTCTGCACTCCAGTTCCAAAAACAGAATGTATTAGATTCTTCTCTTCTACTTGATAAGATTAGTAACAGGATAAATATGTCTTCTAAATTACTGATTCAACATACGTTCCCCTCCAGTGAACACCAGCCAACAGAGCGCCAAGCACTCACTGCCCCAAATCTGCCTTCCTTTAATGAGGGTTCTAAATTGAGACCAAATGATAAAACACAGCTTGCCCAAGACACAACTGCCCACAATGAGAGTTGGACCAGTTACCAGAAGCCAATTATAAGGATGACCTTTTGGCTAACGCTGGGCAAAGCACCTGCCTCTGCTACAGGGTCCTACGTGGCCTTTAGTAAGTCATCATTTCTGTGTCCAGCTTCTAGACGAGGAAAATAACATTACCTCTCTACACTCAAAGGCGTCTTTAAAACAAAGCAACTACAATGATGGACTAAGCAGACATAGGCAGAAGTGCCCATTATACTTTACTTAAGGTAACATTTTTGGATAGTCAGAGACACTGTGTTCCTTAGTGGCTGAACCCCTGATTCTGGATTGGTCTGAAAAAAATAGACAGTGATAAGTCCCTTATATGAATGTTCACAGAGTCCAGCTCCAAACACACCTTGTATTCAAGAGCCCTCCCCTAGTAACAGGTACTGAAGAAAATAAGGCAAGGGAAACGGATTAAAAAAAATAAAAGGGACATGTTGGGGGCAGGGGGGAGAATAGAGGGAAATAGAAAATTAAAATCCACTGAAAAATCTATTTCAAAGATCCTTTTTTTTGTAATTTGAGCTTATCATTTATATATTCTAAAGACTAACACCATAGCTAGATAAATTAAATAGTTTCTCACTGTAGAGTTAACGGGTTTTAAGAGCTCGCTTGGAATTGAGAAACCAAGTGCTTTAACAACCAATGCCAGACTTGGCTCTGAAGCTATTAAACCTCTTGAGTTTATAATGTTCTCTTGCTTCAGCAGCTGTAAATTCTGTAACCAGATATCTGTGCAGTTAACTTGCAGAGTGGGCTTGTACGGGGCATCTATCTTTGCACGCCAGCTAACATCTCGATGCAAGTTTTTACTGTGCCTGGTTGCTTTCCATTTTCATAAAATATATTAAACAGACTTACATTTATATTTAAAAGATATTTATTGTTCATTTTAACCTAGTAACATATCCAGCTTGATATTTCAGAGTTCTGTTGCTATAAGGTATTGATACCACAAACATGGCCGATAGATAGATAGATAGATAGATAGATAGACCATTTATATAAATAAAACTTGCCACATTTAGATGCTTCATAGATACTATGAAGCTTAGTGTAACAGCAGAATAACTTGAATAGTACACACACACACACACACACAATCATAATTACACGTTTATTAGGATCCTCAATAGTAAAGTAAGGGGGCTGCATTAAAATTTCCTCTTACATGGGCCTGTATAACCATGTCTCAATCTTTTCTCAGAATGCTTTTTGGAAAAAAATGTGCCTTGGCAAATGGGAACCAAATTTCAACTGCTAAATTAGCATGTGTAGAATTATTTCCAAATGTCAATTTCTGTTGCATTTATTTGTTTTTTTCATGAAAGTTTATAAAATTGGAACACAGGCAAAGCCTGATTATTTTTAAAAAGTCACATTTGATACCTTCTGGTGTGACATTTTTATATCAGAGATAATCAGCTACTTATCACTAACTTACTCCTTCCAGTTCATTTGCATTCTTACAGGGATGCCTTCAAATAAAGAAAAAAAAAAAAAGACAGAATAAAACAAATCTGTAGGTTTTACCTGGACAATGGATGAAAGACCATTCATAATTTTTCTCTTTTGAGCACAGACTAGTTTCAAGGACCATTTCATGAGAGTGCACCCCGGCAGGCTTCACTGGTCCTCTGGAAGATCCTTCCAAACACTGCCCTTTTCCTGTATTACTGGGATCATTGCACCATCCACATCCAGGCTGCTCCAAACACTGCCCACAGGTCCTCAATCCAGAGCAGTTTTGAGCTGTATTTCAGATAGCATAAAAATAACACAAGTTTTGGGTTTTTTTTAAATCAACTGTACTGCATTTCTACTTCAGCTCAAGATGTAGTTCCCATTAAAATTTCTCCTTTTCACAGACTATTACCATTCCCAAAATATGTTAGTAAGAATGCTTCCATAATTTGTTTGGAACCAAATTATGATTTTGAGAGGCAGGTAAATGAACGTTGCTACCAAAAAAGATTATAGCAATAAAACAAAAACAAAAATAAAATAAGTATACAGAAAACTGAGTACTACAATTTGTGCACACACAAAATCCACTCTAATTCTTATGCTAAATCCACATATATTTTGTGTTATCGGTAGTATGTTCCTCTACAGTAAGAGGATGTCCCATATATCATTCAACCAAATAGTCATGGAAGCCACATGAGGATTATACCACAGGCAAAAAGGGAAGTCTTGAGGCTATGAAAGGAGAACAAAGCAGAAAATCAAATTTCAACTATTGCTATCAACACCCAACAGAGGAATGAACTTCTTTTTCCCCAGATCCAGCAGTGCTTTACACAGGCACTTAATTTTATTCCAATGAGTAGCCCCGCTGATGGAATGACTATTTGAAACATGAGAACTTTTGCTGAGTGGGAAATTGCAAACTCCAAACAAACTCATGCTGATGATCCAGATTAAGGCTACTTGCAGACGATAAAAAAACAAGCAAACAAACGAAATGCATTTTGCCAGAACAAGTGGTGCCTTACTTCAACCTGGCTCTGCAGCGGCTGTAAAGATCGGGTGCTTCAGTGGGGCTTTTTGGCACTGTTAGTAAAGCTGATTCAATCAGCTATTAGACAAAAAGCACCAAAAATGCAGCACTGAAGTGCCCAATCTTTACAGATGCTGCAGAGCCGGGCTGAAGTAACGTGCTGCTTCTTCTGGGCATGTGCAGGGCTCGGCGCAGGAATGAGCTGAGCTTAAAGTAAAAAGTGTGCGGGCCGGGAGCGACCCGAGCCCTTTTCTGTGCTGCACGCGGACTGTGGCCAGCAGCCCGGGCACGCCGGGTTGGAGAGGGAAGGCCGTCGAGCTGGAATTAGGCACAAACGCGTAGCGGTAGTTTTAAAGATTGTTTACTTACACCGAGATGGCAGTGGTGCAGGCAGGAAAACTTGCTTAAGTTGCGGTTACAGACAGACAATAAAACAAAACTCGAACCTGCAGGGCACGAGGGTACGTCGCAAAGGGTTCCGGCGACGGGAAGAAGAAAAATACGAGGGTACGTCGCAATGGGTTTCAGCGACGGGAAAATAAACCTGCAGGACTCGAACCCGGGTAGAAGAGCTCTGAAGCCGGTCGTAAGGGCTCACACGAAGTTTGCTAGGCTCCGTGGGTCCGGTTCTCTTGTGCGCGGGAAGGGATACGTCTGGACTGCGATCGGTGACGGGGAGAGGCTAGAGGTTGATCAGACCTCCGTTGCCTGCTTTAAATGCACTGGGTCCATAAGGATCCGCAGCGCTTAGAGATCTTCACACAGTGTGAAGTCTCCTCCTCCCTTGTTCGTGGAGTCCTCCAACTTGGGCGGAAACCACTCAAGCCTCTTATACGGCTAGCAAGCCAATCAGTAGCCGCCACGTGTGAATAATTTAGAACTGGCCAATAATGGGACTCGAATTAGCATACAAATGGCGGGAACTCTTTGCAACGAGCATCTCTGTGCTGCAACAAAGAAATGCACCCTGCAAAGAAAGCTTCAAATTGGTGGGAAATTCTCCCTTGCACCGGGGTTCTCTTTTGCAGCAGAAAACTCCACCGTGCAAAGAAGCTATAATTTAGCGGGGACAATTTAGCAGTGCCGAAGCACACACAAACAAAAATCACACCCTTTGGGTTGTGACATAAAGCACCAGGGGGGAAGGGGGATTATGTCTGCAAGCACCCCAAATGACAGATCATTCAAACCCCCAAATTAATTTGACATTAAATGAACCAAGGATGTGGAGTTCTGACATTTGGAATTTTCATCTAAAATTGCCTAATCCTAACAAGTCATGACAAAAACCATGAAATAGGATGACACGAAGGTTTGACTGGAAGAGACCACATGAAGTCATGTAGTCCAGTGACCTGCTCAGGACAGGATCAGCCCTGATGAAACAACCCCTGTCCAGTCAAGTGGCCGTCTAACACATCTGTTTAAAAACTGGGATTCCAAAACTACAAATCACAGCTGCATTCCATTGGAATGAAGCTGTGCCTTACTATCTCGTCTCCCAAAAGTCAGCTTTCCTTTACTTGGAAAGCAAAGCCAAATCTGCACCTAAATTCTTTCTGGATCTGATCTACTGCCTTAAATTCTTTTCCATGCAGTCTTTATAAAACTTAAATTATCACTTCTTCCAAATCTATCTCCCTAAAATGTGGTAAATCCAGTTTAGAAAAAGTACAAAACTTGTGTTCTGAAATGCTGAAATCCCCAGGAAGTAACAGCCATGAATAGACCAAAGCCACCCCAACACATTTTCTTACACGCAGTAGTAACACATTTTTTTTTGTTATCAATGAGCAACAGCCTATTTGTCCTTTTTGTCTCAAAGCAGGGCGTTGGATTAAAACAGCTTCCTGAGGTCCCTTTTAGATCTACTTCTCCATCAGAGCTATCATTATATGACTACAGTGTCATTCAATCAGTAACTTCCTAGAAAACCTTGTAGGTTTCTACAAGCACCGCATATTCAAAGCAAGAATGCATATAGATAAGAATAATCGAGGTTCTTGTTGTTTGTTTTTTTTTAAATCTTAATTCCCAGGTTATTGAAAGGAAAATATAAAAATCTAAGACAACATACAGCACAGATTACTAAATGTTGGGTTTTAATTTAATACTGTGCTGGAACTGAAAAGCTTTATGTCCAAATCCTATTTCACTCCCATGGCACCTAGGGGCAATCTTATTCCACCACGATGTTCAAAACCCTGAAAAACTGTGAACACAAAAGGTGGGTAGATGCTCCTCATCCTGCTGCTTTTTTTAACTTAGTTAAAGGCCATGATGTGGAAATGTTACAAGCATCAATGTACTAACGGTTTTCCAAGGGCTCTAGCCAGGTGGAACAGGATTGCGTGTAAGTAGCATTTAGGGGATGCTAAAGTGAAATTGGACTTGTACGTTAGGGTCTTGTTTTCCTGTGAGTTAACTTTACTGATAAATAAGTCAAGGCAGTGCTCATCATTACAATCATTTGGTCAATTTTGCAAAGAGTAACTGAAAACAACAGAACAGGTTCTGACTATAACCTATATAATACCATGAAAAATGCTTGTGCATCCTAACCCATTTCTACTTCTAAACTGCCTGATGTAAACCACTTTTTTGATAAGTAAAAGGGTACCCAATTTGTACAATAATTTAATGAAACAGATGGCTGAAGGCTTTCATTTGCTTTTGGATATCTTCATGCTTCTATTCAGAATATTCATTCCCTTTAAAATTATTCAATTTAATAAAAATTAAAAACTTACAAAATATTTTGATGCAAGAGTTACAAAAACAGCACTGCCAACCTACGGCTCCCCAAATGCTTGCATTAATTTTTTCAAACTACATTAATAATAGGCCAATTAAAACAATGGCTCACTTGTGTAGCATCCAACAACACACAACTGCGCAAAGTGAATGAAAAATTAAGTACATAAACATGACATCGCGAAATTAAATGTTATCGTGTTTTGGAATCAGGAAAGTGAATCCATACACTGAGTTTTGTGGTTGTTATGACTCTTCTATAAATCACCTTAATGAAAAAAGTCCTTGTCAATGGAAAACCTTATACCAGCAACATTATAAACATTACGGAAGCACTCATTAAGTTTTAGAATTTTCTGCTAGTAGTAAATAATTTTAATTACATTTTAGTGAATAAAAATATTATGTGAGCAGGAGACTTTGAACTATTTTTCCCCTGGAAAACCAAAAGAAAGAAAGAAAAAAAAATGGCTAACATAAAAATTAAGGACAAGTGTCAGTTAAGTTAAAAATTAAGTGTCAGTTCCCATCACCAGGAAAAAAGTAAAGTCATTATAAAAATATGTCAGTGTAATTTTGAGTCTACTAGATAATCTATTTTTAATCACTGGTTGTAGAATAATAATCTTGGATCGAGTGATTACAGGGTGATTCGGCTGAAATTAAATTGAAGTGGAAACAAAAGTAGGTATCTAGCTAAGATTTTCAAATGTTAAAAAGACGTTGTAAGAAATTAAGGAAACCAGTCCAGTTTTTCAAATGGACTGAAGAATTCAAGTACCTGAGTCTGAAGCAGGTTTTTTTCATTAACAGAAAGGTGAAAATTTGCATCCCAAGCAAGAGGGAAAAACATAAGGAAAAGGACATTACTGGATGAAAACGCACTTTAAAAAAGATGTAAAAAATAAACAAAGAACCTTTCAGGAGTGGAGAAAAGAACTGTTCAGCAATGGAAGTTACATTTTACAAGTCAGGAAGGGTAGGGATAAAGTGAAAATTGCCATAAGTCAACTAAAAAGAATAAAGATTATCAATGGGCAATGGAATAAAATTAACGATACTGACTTCAATAACTAGTCTGAATCTATATAGCAAGGAGACGTTTGAAGATGAGAAACGGCTGGGAGGCACTGTCAGTATAGAGGGCAACTAGAGTTTCATGCAGTGAAAACTGAGTATATCTTGAGGACTAAAATAACAGAAATGGGATACAACTAAAAACTGCAAGAGCAAGGTCTTATATTTTGGGATTAATAATGAGAATTTCTGCCATAAAATAGAAGCTCATTATTTGGAAAAGCAGAGGAGGGAAGTGCATCAGCCAATCACCAGATGACTAAGCGAGCACTGTGGTGAAATCATGAAATAAGCAAATGCCAAGGATGGATCAGAAGAAGTATTTCCTTTAGAAACAGAAAAGTATTAATGCTTTTGTACACTGAACCGGTGAAAACTCATCTGGAATACTGTGTACGCTTCTGGTCAGTGATGCTCA